CAGAAACCAAAAAATACACCTGCATGATGCCAGAAAGTTAAGTCACAGTCTGTGCACCTCTTTTTCACATGATCTTATTCATTTTAATCATACACTATATACTATTATATTCTATGCGTCGCCTGCCTTTTGCTCTGGACCAGGGGGCAACTAACTTTCTTTGAGCTGTGCGAGGTTCCTATATATAAGAATAATGTGGTAAAACACGTGACTGTATTAAGATAGCAAACACGACATAAAGGGACAGAATACGAGGTTTTGTTGAACAAAGAGATTGTGGTTTAACTAGATTTCCCTCTCCAGGTTTTGTTGAAATCAATGGAGGTTCGAGTGAGAGGTCCTTACACCATAAGAAACGGGGTAAGACTAACGCAAGTCGATTTTATTCAATTTACAGCACAAACTTGGCCTATGTGAAACTTGGTTTCTCAACCTCAACCTTCAGCTTAACTCGGTATGCCTTCTTTCTACGTGTTCAAAGTTAACAACAAGATAGCTCGATGATCGAAAAACAAGATTTCAATTCAAAACTCAAGCTCGGTGTCCGTGTTTTGTACTGTTCCGTTATATATAAATAAAAACAATTTTTTCCATGTCGGTAAATTTCTAAAAGAGTTGGTGAGTATCAAAAAGTTATTGATTAAAAAAGTTACTAGTCACCTAACTTCCTAGTAACTTGTTGGCTAATAACTCACTAACACTAACTCTTTTTGACAATTTAGAAATGATCAACTTTTATCTTTTACTATTGTCTTTCTTTCCAATACTATAAATTTACCAACTTCTATACAAATTTCGAAATCCAAACATACGTTGGTAACTAACTCAAACTAAAGTTGGTAAATTTAAAAAAATCCAAACCTACAATGATAACAAACTTGAAAGTCGTTGAATACCCAGAAGTAGTTGATAATTAGTGGAAGAAAAGTTGATGAATCATTTAAATTAAATTTGGTAATGTCATATAAAAGTTGGTATAAAGCTTAATTAAGAAAGGTAAATTAAAATTATTAATTAAAATAAATAAACTTGGCAAGTAACTCAAATGAGAGTTGGTAATCCAAAACTAGTAGTATTAGAGAAAATTGTATAAATTACTCTAATTAAGGTTGATAAATTCTTAGAACAGTAGGTAAATTTAAAGCATTGCTAAGAAATGCACATAAAAGTTTGAAAATGATTATAAAATTTGGAAAATGTCAAATAAAACTAAATGTAGTTAAGTAATTCAAATGAGAGTTGGTAACCGAAAATAGATGTTAGTTTAAAGGGAGAAAAGTTGTGAGTTACGCTAATATAGGTTGGTAATCTTTGAAAAGAGTTAGCACATGTTAGGTATCTAACCAAGGAAAATAAAAAGTGGTTTTTCAATAGAAAGTTGATAACTTGAAAGAACTAAATTTTGGTAAATTATTTAAATGAGATTTGGTAACTCAAAACTAGTCGGTAATCTAATATGACAAAATCCGATAAAACTCTTTAATTTAGTTTGGTAATTTCATATTAGTAAATTCAAAGCATTAGAAAGTTTATGTAAATAAAAGTTAGTAAGTATAAATATTACTAATTTGCAAACTGTGAAAATTTATAATTTCATATAAATGTCAGCAAGTCATCAACAAGTTATTTAGAGAAAAATCACCGGCTATCTTTTTTATTAACATTTTTTTTGACACTTAGGAACAGTTATTGAAATTTATTATAAGCATGGCAAAAAAAATTCATATTTTTTGGTCCTGAACAAGGGAATTCTACTTAAATTACATCAACTCTGTTTTTTCTGTTTTTTTGTCAGAGTTCTGTGACCTCAAGATCTCTCCGGAGAACATCATCTTAAGAACACGTAACCAAATACACTTTTCTGTCAAAAATTATTTTATATCACCTCAGAGTGAATGACTATGGACTTATGAATTACTAATTTACCATCGACTTCCTCTTTATAAAACCTTTAAATGGAGAAAATCCGTTACATAACCTACACCACATGACATGTTGACGGGATATTACTCATCCAATCAAGTATTCTCATTTGTTTTCAACTTTGGACATTCATTGCAAATAACGGCACTGTACTTTAAATGATTGATGCTACATCAACATGTCACTAAATAGATATTCGGCTTGTTAATTAAAGTCTTTTTTTTATACTTTTTTACATATCCTCGTATCAATGTGTCTGCAGAAAATACTGCAGATTGGAGGATTGTCCTAGATCACCCAGGGATACGGCAAAGATCAAGCTTCATGATTCATGAAAATTTTTGTAAAATACGAAAAACGTGCGATGAACAATACTTGATTTAGTCAAGATTTTCCTTGATGCTTGCAGACATTGGGCCAAGTAATTAATGTTGTGCATGAAGAGGTTCGTCAAGTTGGGCAGTTTTATTATGGGTTTCTGACCGACATCAGTTAATAAAGACACTCGGATATCTGTACATTGAATTTGGGGGAACAAGTAGACTGACGCACATTCCCCGACCCCAGATAACAGCAAGGACAAATTATTTAAATTAAACTTCTATTTGTCTAGAGCATGTGCATTCATATCGATAGGAAAAATTGTTTAAATAATCCTAAATCTATTGTAAGGCTGCAAATTCAATCCTAAACTTTATAATTTGGTGAACGTAGTCCTAAACCTTTAAAGATTTCCCAATGTAGTTCATCCGATTATTTTATGCTAGAAATTCCTGACGTGGCGGTTTAGTTGGCGATGACCGTCCTACGTATCACGGCCGGCAATCTACATGTCGTACTCCACTCAAAGCGAAATTTCCAGAAATTTTTATATTTATTTTCTATTCTTTTCTTTTCCTTTCCTTCACTGTTCATCTTCCGGAAAGAGTCGGTAGGGTCATCGGGTCCGCGGCGATGGGATCATTGTAAAACTAAAGAGTTGTAAAGGGCTTTCTTAAAGTATTTCAAGGGTTTCACTTTACCAACAAAACTTCAATTGGGGCGAAAGTTAAGTAGCTCTTACTCCTAAACCATGAGGTTGCAAAATACTTGTAATTATGAGGTTGCAAAGTTATATATGTTTGATTTTACAATGAAAAATTGAAATGAGAAAGAAGTGACTTCATCAAACATTAGTTTCTACAGTGTTTCTCAAAAAGGAACGAGTCCTAATATATGATGCAACAGAATGTGTAAGAGATGCTAGTCTTGCAACAGAATTATACATTTTTTTCAGACCACATTTACAACACCTAACAAGTCTCATGAACAGATTAAGTCCAAATCTTTTACCAATGTAGGTGGTCCTGACCTAGACGATTTTGCATGTTGTTGGTAGAATCCGAACGAGTGACCTCCAATTTTCGAGTTGGAAATAACACCTCAATCAACTACGCCAGCTCTGGAGATTTTCCGTTAAAAAGTGTTAGGAAATGCATATACATAACATGGTATTTTAACACATCCTCCATTCAAAACTTTGTCTCAACTAACAAGGATGAGAGCCTATGTAATATCACTCTCTCCAAACCGGCCAAAAACCAAAACATACACCTGCATGATGCCAACAAATTAAGTAAGTTCGCAGTCTGTGCACCTCTCCTTTTCACATGATGGTACTCATTTTAATCATACAAGTGATACTATTCTATTCTACGCGTCACCTGCCCTTTGCTCTGGACCAGGGGGCAGCATGCTTTCTTTGCGCTGGGTTATATATTCTTTAGCTGTACGAGGTTCCTATATCTAATGTGGTGGAACACGTGACTGTATTAAGATAGCAAACCAGATATAAAGGGACAGAATCCAAGGTTTGGTTGAACACAGTGGTTTTGGCTTAACTAGCTTTCCTTCATCGGAACGAGAAATCCGAAAACTGCTTTGAGACAGTCACACACGGTTTCGATAATACGATATGCTATCGAGCAAAGGTATGGTTTTGACTGGTAGATACGGTTTGCTTGTATTTTCAAGGACGAGATTCATTTTAATTGAACTGTTCGAATGGTCGTTGGTTTGCATACTCATGCAGAATTTTCTATGTAATTGTACTCACGAGTTCACTGCATTCAATGAATTTTTAAAAGGCCTGGGATAAAAGGTTTTAACTGACCTCGCCATTTCGGTTCCAAGCCGGTTTTGAAAGTAACTCAACGGAATCTCTTTGAGTTACTAACTAGCAATTCATCCTTGACTCATTGACTGCTTGAGACCAACTTTTCGAAAAGTGGAGACTAGCCAAGGAGTGATGAGTCATGATTAGAGGATTTGATGTAATCACTTTGAAATTTATAGAATGGCTCAAAGGCATAAAACCCTAATCTAAGAGAGCCTCGATTCAAGTGGGCACTCCAATATCTAAAATGAGTATAACACAACATCGCAACGCTTAATCGCAACTTATAAATGTAATTAAGTAGTCAAATAGTGTTTGTGTCGAACAACACGAATGTGTTTGAAACCTGTAAAACCAAAAAATCACAAACTTTTATATTGCTTTAACCGATAGAATCCTAAGCTAGAGCTTGAGGTTTGAATTGAAATCTCTTTTTTCAATGACCGAGCTATCTCTATTGTTAACTTTGAACACGTAGCTAGAAGGCATGTCGAGTTAAGCTGATGGTTGTGGTTGAGAAACCAAGTTTGATATAAGCCAATGTTAAACATCAATCTCTAGTCAAGTTTGTGCTGTAAATTGAATAAAATCGACATGGGTTAGTCTTACCTCCTTTCTTATGGTGTTAGGACCTCTCACTCGAACCTCCATTTATTTCATTATTACTCGTGTTGGCTTGTCATGTGCATTACGACCATAGCTAATCTGTTAATTGTTTAATGCAAGTTGCTGTTCTGTTTGAGGATAACAAATTTATTTTCCTCTCTTTCTCTCAACGAGGACAGAGTGATTTAAAATAATAAGCAGTGTTCAACATTAACGGCACATGGAACAGTCTCTATATAATCAGTCATTGTCGAGACAGTTTAGCATTAGAATACGAGAGCGAGAGAGAAAGAGAGGGAGCGAGAGAAAGAGAGAGATGGGCAGAAACCCTAGTAGTGGTGAAGATGGATTGAAGTTCAAGAAACAAGTTTGGTCGACTCTTGAAGACCAAATCCTCATCGATTACGTCAAAGTTCATGGTCAAGGGAGATGGGGCAAAGTTTTTAAGGCAACAGGTGAGTTAAGGCCTTGATTTTACTACTTTTCTCTTTGCAAACTGCCACATGGAAAGAAAAAGAAATAAATGTTCAAAAACCATACTGTGAATAATAAGAATGCATGTCTGGACTTACATAAATACCGGTTATTCAATAAGTGCACCAATATGATGCTTTGTATCAACAATGAAAATAACTAGTCCCACATACGATAAATGATTATATGGTCCGATATATTGTTTTCCAATAGAACTTGAATGCCTGAAAATATTTTATGAGCGACGCCTAAACATGTGACAATGTTCATTCCAATGAATAAGTTGCATCTAAAGTCCTACTATAAAATTCAAATTATAGGACATTACGCTGCATAGTTTTCACTGAATCCGAGTTATTTAGACATAGCAAATGGTCGGAGAATTTCTTCTTTCTTTGTATCCTCTGGAAAAGTATACTTCATTTATGAAAGTAAATCCTACCAGTAATGTGCTCATACTTGCTTGTTTTGTATCTCCTAATCACCGAAAAAAAAAATACATGAAACTGATGTGCAGGCCTCAGAAGGTGTGGACAGAGCTGTAGGCTCCGGTGGTTAAATTACCTAAGACCAGATATCAAGAGAGGAAACATATCACCTGAAGAAGAAGAGCTCATCATTAGGCTCCATAAGCTCCTGGGCAACAGGTATTATTTGTATTCTTCAAGTGATGAGCTCATCATACCTCTGAGATTGTTCTTCGAAGGAGTTATTGAAGGTGATGATAATTTGCTATGTCTTTCACCTTTAAACAAAGAGAGGCATTTGACCATGCTGTTTCTCAAAGCCATTTTCAGTTCCAAAAGAATATTATTGAGATTGGCACTAACATGTGTTAGGTTACTTGCTTGTAGGTGGGTTCTTATCGCGGGAAGGCTCCCTGGCCGAACAGCCAATGAGATAAAGAATTACTGGCATTTGACCATAAAGAAGAAGCTAGTCCAAGACAACGATGACCCAACAATGAACTCAAAGTGCGAGGATAATAAGCTCATAAAGAACAAGCCCCTGGACGAGAAGGCGGCAGCTGAATTGCAATGCGACACGGATCGTGACAGTAAGCCATGTAAGGCAGAAGGTGTTGTTTCAGATAGAATGATGGATATAGTTGAAGGGAAGGGTCAGGGAGGAGATCACGAGGATGACATGATTTCATGGGAAAACATGATGATGGACCTCAATGTGGAGGATATGAGGATCTCTGATAATCAGTACTCTGAGCTCTTTGAAGGCAATCAAGATGGAGCGAATCAAAACGGGTGGCTTTCTGATGAAATGCTGTCTAAATGGGTTACTGAGTTGATGGGGTGATGCAAGTCCTTCAACGGTGCCCCAGCTCTTCGCATTCATATCGCTCAAGAACACTCAGCATGCACCTTGATTTAGGTGGCATCATCAACTGCGAAAACAATAATCTTAATTTAGTTTACCACATTCACTTTTGGGAAGTATAATATTTATAGGATTAGTTGGTAGTCATCTTGACTAGTTTTATCTTGTCAGCTTTGTTATATCATATGACTATAATACATCTCAAAAAAGGACATGCACACTCCTGAAATTTTTTTAACCTTTTTAAGGAACATTGTTGTAAGATAGAAATATGCAAGTATTAAAAATTTATGAAAAATAAAGATTTCATTAACTGACGTATTTCACACGAATATAAGTTTTGTGGAATGAGTATTTGAAGATAGTATTGAGATTCCTAAAAATTATGAGATTTTCTTCACGCTATATAATACTATACATATATGTATGTATGAATGTATGTATGTATATATATATATATATATATATATATTAACAGAACATAGGTGTTCTTGCAAAAGTATTTACACATTTCACAAGAATTAAGATGGTAATAGTTCCCAACAAACAAAACTTTTGCAAACCCACAAAAGGAAAAGAAGAAAAATATATTGTTGGGCGAACAGCCACGATCCACATGAAGGGAAATCGTAGGCCTCATCTTTGGCATTGCTCTTTAAATTGTTTAACGAAAGGGAGACAAAGTATTAATTAAATCATTATTCGAGCTACCCATTCCATCTATTCAGTCGATATTTGGGCCATCCAATAACTCATACATGGGCCACCTTAGGCTTGACTAAGGGCCTATTTGATAACCCAATAAAGTGCTGAAGATTAAATATTTGACGTTTGATTAGATTAAGCTTGTGTGATAACCTTTAATAGAATCGACTTAAATTATTTTAATTCAGTAAAAAAATCCACTGAGGAGTTATTTAAGTCAATCGGTAGAAAAATAATGGATGGCGACTAGAATCTTGCTAGATAAAATGATAAAACATACATGTAATGGTCTTTTTTCTATTTTTGGAAAGAGGTTAATGATATTCAGCTATCCGTTATTAATTTTCGTCAAACAAATTTTAATTCTATTTTCGGCAGTTGACATGATCAACACTCAATGTTCACTACTTAAATTTTCAGCACTGAATTTCCGATTCTACCAAGCGGGCCCTAAATCTCCAACACACAAGCAAGCCTCGGTGCAACGGAATGATGATAGCACAAAGACTTGGGCACTAAAAGGACAAGAGAAGAGACAAAATTCACCAATCAAGTTAGTCAATTCTCCATGAGCAGCATGAGCAACTTTTTTGTTGTATATATGTAGTGATATCCATTATAAAGCACCTTGAAAAACATCCATTAAACAGTTGGCAATGATGGATGACATAGATTCCTCTTTTTCTTCAAGAGAGATCATAGATAGAGAGATTGATTTGTACATTCGCTTTGTCACTACATGACCATCAAGGTCCAGTAGGAAAGGAGAATTCTCTTGCAATGCTGTCATGCTATTTCATGAGAGTGATTCTATCCTTTTGTCCTTTTGTATGGAGCCCAACAGAAGAACCCATTTCAAGTGGGTCAAGTTTGCACGGTGGTCGAAAAAAACTAATTTTTTGGGGTCTTGGCACAGGTCATAGAAAGCAACCCTACTCTAATAGGGTCATGCCATAATGTCGATATCTTGGGGCCCAATTCATGTGATGATGGTGATAATTTACAAGAAGAAAAGAAAAAGCGGGCTTGGATTGGAATCTCTATTTACTTTTCTTGGCTTGACCGTGAATCATAAGTTAGAAATATGGCAATCTAATCATGCAAAACCTCAATTCTTGGCTTGAACGTGAATCATAAGTTAGAAATAGGGCGATGTAGCCCGTACGTTGCACGGGTTCATGACTACTGTTATATTATTTCAAATGTTGACGTGAACTTTCGCGAGAAAAATAATATGTATAAAATTGTAAAATTGATTATTCGCATTAATCAAATCCTCCACTAGAGTTTATGTAATACTTTATTTAAAGTTGATCCGGACTCCATCATTTAGGTCTATCCTCCCCGATTAAAAGAAAACATGAGAAATAAAATCGCAATATTTATTAAATCACAATATAAGTACATGCAACATTTCAAGCACTAATCGATTAATACTTGAAAGCATAAAGTAAGAATGTAAATTCAACTCTCTCGCTTGCTTTCATTCAATGTCACTATTTTCACTTTTGTACCGCCGACGTGGTGTGAAGGTAAGCAAGCTATTTGTATAGAATCTTCTTGAAAAAAAAAATAATGTTTTCTCTTTTTCCAATTGCTCATCACTGTTGGCTCAATACCCTAAGAAACCTCCAACTTTAGGTTCAATCCAATTATATCATAACTTTTTTTTTATCCCATAAATAATCCTCAACTTTAGGTCGTGTCCCAATTTTACCCTAAACTTTTTTTTGTCCTATGAAATACCCCCAACTGTAGGTCTTATCCCAATTTTACCGTCCAATCCCAATTTTACCCTAAAATTTTTAGTCTCATAAAAAATCATAAAACTTTTACTTAAGTCGCAAATTTACCCTCATTAACCCTCTGTCCAAAATTTCTTGTTGACAACTGAGTGATGGAAAACTTCCAAGGACGAGCTGTTCGAGCATTTCAAGAGCGAGCTCTCCGACCGTGAGAGATGGAACATTCCCAAGTACGAGAGATTGATTAATGCAAAATCACTAAGGGCAATTTTGATAGAGAGGTAATGGAGAGCAAATTTGTGACTCAAGTAAAAGTTGGCTATCTTTTATGAGACAAAAAAAATATTAAAGTGAAATTGAAACTAAACCTAAAGCTGGGTGTTTTTATGAGATAAAAAAAAAAAGTTTACGGTGGAATTGGTACTGGACCTAAAGTTGAGGATTTTTTTTTAGACAAAACAAGTTTAGGGTAGAATTGGGACTGGACCTAAAGCTAGGGGTTTTTTATGAAACAAAAAAAAAAGTTTGGGGTAGAATTGGGACATGACCTTAAAGTTGGAGGTTTTTTATGAAACAAAAATAGATTGGGACAAAAGTTAAAGTTTGAGGCTTTTTAGGATATTAGACCGATCTCTGTTTCTAGAGAGATAGAGCTAATTTCTTCAAAGTCATCTTCTGATTCCATATATTCCGCTTTCCTTTTAACGGAAATTCTCCTTTTTTTTTCTTTTGGTAATCTTTTGATGCCTATCTTTTAATTTACGTAAGAATTGATGAATATCTCATCATACATGACAATTTATCACAAATAGAATTATTGGATATCTTGTGGAAAATATGCGATATTCATTTTATTTAAAGAAATTCGGAACATTTCTTTCCATAAGAATGCATATCTAGAAATTCTTAATTATTTTGACTAGAGTAAGAATATTTTCATATTCCTAGTTTTTCTAGTGAAAATTTCGTTCCCCGTCAGTTGGTTGTTAATATATTGCATTTATTGATACTTCAAGTAATTTTTTTTCCCAAGTTTGAAAATTTTATTTTGGTTGTATCATGATGATTGGCTAAGTATTTTATTTACTATATATAATATGTTACATAGAGATTCACGTCACAATAGCAAAGATTGGTGGTCCATACTTTAACAACTCGAGAAAAATTGGTCTAAAATTAGAAGGAGCTTGAGCTATTGTTTAGAATTTCCAACAAAATTTTAATATCTTGAAGTGTGATCGAAACTATACTTTGAACTAATTGCTGCTGTAAAATGACGGATTGCAGTAGTAATATTACTTTAACGAAAAGAATTGATAATATAAACAAAATCATCATAACGCCGATATACGATTCAAAGTGTGCTGATAAATTCTGCCGGACATACTAATCCTTATTGGTATTGTCTTGATTGCTTTGCCTTATTTTTTCTTCAATGATTCCAAACATATACCCGCTTATATAATATTTTTTTGGAGAAGCGACACTTATCACGAAAATTCAAAACATGAAGTCTTAGTTATTATTACTAAATGTAGCTACGTTTTTATCGTCGAATGTAGCTAGGAGACAACATTCTAATATTTATCTATCTTGTCTTTCTTAGGGAAACAACACCTAGAGACATATCTTTCTCTTGCAATTTTTTGGTTTTTGAAATCTTTCAGAAACCTTCTCTCCGTTATCATATTCTTATTTGTAATTGTACTCTAGTCATACATATTTTATACATCTTAAGAAGGTAGAGAAAGTCACTATTTTGATATTTATGTTATGCTCATAACATGTTGCTCCACGTTATGAGATGAGCAAATAGAGAGGTGAAATCAAAATGGGAAGAAAATTAGGAAAAGGAGGCTTGTCAAGAGATTGACAAGTGTTACCTTCCCTCCACAAGCCCCCTTTAAGAACCTTATTTCATGTATTGTGCAAGTTTCTTATGCTAATCTCTATAAGTTTTACGTGGTTGATCAGCATTCCCAAAGAGAATACGAACTCTTGTTCAATTCCTACCAACTTAATTAGGACATTATCAAGAAATCTCTCATTATGGACGTCAAAGAGAGGGGAAAAAAAAGCAAAATTCCATAACATTTAGGAATAACAGAAGACTCTTGCTCCATGACTTTAATCTTCTTTTGTATTTCCATATATTCCATTTTTCTCTCCTAGATCGTGAGACTTACGTTAGACCTTGAGTCAAAAATGGAGTTGACCTTGAGTCAAAAAGGTATAATTACTACGCAAGATTGTCTGCCCTTAAGCAAACCAGATGAATTAATTAGACTAAGCCCATTCCTCACTTCAAGCTGCTTTAGTATAGTTTTCCACTTACAAAGATTAAAAATTGTCAGGTGGGTTATCTTTTACATGTATGCATGAAATGGTGATTATTTAAGTTTGTGCTAATTCATTCATGGAGGGGAGTATTCACTTCTCTTAATGCTGGATGTGTGTGGAGAGAACAAAAGTCTTTCCAAGATTTATAATTGAACTAGTAACAAGTTGGTAAGGAAGATAAAATTAGCT